GCCTTCAGTGAGAATCTACAATGTAAATAGTCATGAAAATAAAGAAAACGCATTGAATGAGAAGGTGTGTCCAAACTTTTGGCCTGTACTGTATATATATAAAAAAAATCTACCTCAGCTGTCTTTCTTCTTCTTTCCTACAGAAACAATTCTCATCTGCTTTCATATGTTTATTGCACACACAGAACATTGTGTACTGTATTCTGTAGGTTCCAGCTGTGCAGAAGCTTTTAACATAAAGTGCACAAAAGTAAATAAATATTGCAGGATGTTTGCTCAGTAGTAATGTGTAGGTGGCTCTTAAAAGAGCCGTTTTGTGAGTGCTTGCACACTAGACGTTGGCCTGCCACGGGACCGTTCCCTCTGCCGAGAAGTAAGCTGCGAAGGTCTCCCGAACCCTGATGGCCTCTCTTGCCAAGTTGTTCGCAGCCAGTCTTCCCAGACCTGGCAGAGGCTCCACCACACCATCGGAAATGCTCCCCCTCATTGCAGGCGCTGGGGTCGTCTTCCGCAGGAAGTTGTGCAGAACACAGGTCGCCTTCACACACTTCTCTGCAATGTCAGGCTGGAGCTCCATGGCACGCCGGTACATCCGCCACTGGGATGCAAGGATCCCAAAGGCGTTCTCCACCACCAGCCGTGCTTGGGACAGACGGTAGTTGTAGATCTGCCGGTCTCTGGTAAGTGTGTGTCCAGGGAATGGCCTCATGAGGTTTCTCCGGAGTGGAAAGGCCTCATCTGCTACAAACACATGTGGCTGGGGTCCCCTGTGGTCAGCTCCTGGTAACAGCCGGTCAGCAGGCAGCTGGAGGGTGCCGGAGCGAAGCGCTCGGCCAAAGGTTGAGTTGGCCAGGATGCCGCCATCACTGGTCCTGCCGTAGCCCCCGACATCAATCACCCTGAAGCAATACCGGGAATCCACAACAGCAAGGAGGACTATCGAGAATGTCCCCTTGTAGTTGTAGTACTGGGATCCCAAATGTGCAGGGGCTTTCAGGATTACATGCTTCCCATCCACAGTGCCACAGCAGAGAGGAAAATTCCACCGCTCCTCAAACCGCTCCTCTGTGGTGGGCACAGCCATGAACTCCTCCACGAGGCAATCCCAAATAGCTGTGACTACAGCTGGAACTATCAGGGAAACAGTGGAGACTCCAATGTGGAAGCTGTTCGCAATGGTCCTGAAGGTGTCACCAGTGGCCAGGTATCTGCAGCATAGAAGAAAACATTAAATTTAGCTGAGTTGAAGTGAATGTAGGTGGCAGTCTATATCAAATCTGTTGTTACTTGCACTGTTTTATTGATGTGGCTAAACAGGTGAAAGTACTCAAGTATTTATGCTATTACATTATTGCAGTGGATAAAATGAGCTCATTTTTTATTGAAATGCATGACAAGCAGATCAAGATCTAGGATTTACCCATAAATTGTACAAATTGCACATGAATTCAGACTTTTCATAAATCGACATCATGAAGTAGACTAGTAATTTCATCAGCCTTTTACATGCTGTTATCTTATATACTGTATATGTATGTGTGTGTGTAATTTTATGTAACATTACGTTTTATCATGTTTTTTTGTTCATTTTATGTCTATTTTTAAAGTGAAGCACATAGTGCATGTAATTTTTTTGTTGTAAAGCACTTTGAGCTGCATTTCGTGTATGACAGGTGCTATACAAATAAAGATTATCATTATATTATGCCATTATTACATTATTATACTTTTGATCCATTTATTGAAATTGAATCACAGCAAAATGTGGGTTCATACCACTATAGTGTCAGATAAGCCGACGTATGACTTGCTAGATACAGTGAATATTTACTGATTTTGACACAACAATAAACTGCTACTCACCAGAGACAAATGGACAGGCGCTCCGCAGCTGAAATGGAGCTCCTGTATTTGGTGTCCTGCCGGGAGATCCTGGCGCCAAGCCTCGCCAACAGGTCCTCAAACTGGGCCCCAGTCAGCCAGAAAGCAGCTATCATCCAGACGGAGTTCCTGGAGGAGGTGGTGAAACTCACCGAGCTGGATGCGCTTCTGCAGGATAGGGTGAACCCAAAAACGATGGCGTTTGGCCCTCCGAAGCATCTGGGACAGATGGGACAGAGCAGGTACAACGCAGTGATGGTGGTTATTTCAGCCATGGTTGAGGAGAGAATGGCGGGCAAGATGTTATCTAGTGAAAATGGGCGGGCTCGTTACTCGCGCGACTGACGCGATAACGCGAATTAACAAAATGGTCAGGCGTCTAAACTCACGCATTACGCGTGGCGCATTACTCGCGTCACACGCGAGTAATTCGCTTCACTCGCGCCCGGTGTGAACGCTACATAAAGCTGCATTCCCACCAAACGCGAATTCACAAATTCGCACGTCGAGATTACATACAAAGTCAATGCAAAGACGCGATTAGACACGAATTCGCGCCGGGCAGCGTGATGGATAGTGCACTGTGGCGCAGTAGAAAGCCGGTGCACTCATTCATTGCAGGACGAAGAAGGGGTGAAGAAAATTTCAGACATCCAAGATAAAATGCACGTTTATTGAACAATAATGGATATACAAACACATGGCAACCCCTCATAAACCTTCCTAACATCTGTGCCTATGAGGTGAGTACATTACATGTTTCATTTGAACATTTATGGAGACGTGAATCGGTCTAGACCGGGAACCCCCAAATGAAAAACGGGGTTCGTTTTCAAGACGTTCATGCATGAGTCCAAGGCTAAAATATTTACTGTTACTAGCATACATTAGCTAGTTTATCTCAACAATCACCCATAAAAATTACACTAAAATCAACAAAACCTAGCAACAACCATGGGCCTTAAACACTTAACCAATGTGTGTCCACAGGTAATTGTCAGATTGTCAGATTTTCAAAATAACAGCTGAACTCCCGGAGGACTTTTGTTAGCCTTACATTAATGGTTGAGCACATAACCCTAACATTTCCCTCAAACAGTGTAGCTAATCAAGCACATACAAAGGCTATGGTGTAAGAGTGACATATTATGGATACACTCTGCTATTAAGAAAATATTACAGTACTTAGGTGACATTTTCCTACTTGACAAAATATAGTCCAAATTTAAAGCAGCGATTGAGCAGGATCATCTGACTGAACTGTCTGCTGCCAAGGCCAACTGACAAACTCAAAGGCACAAGATTAAATAGTCTAACGGTTTCAGTAACGGCACAAGATCACTTGTGGGTTGGCTTGCTATTATTTATTCAGAGAACAGCTTTCTCCAGTATTGTATTAAGTCGATTTAAATAATTTATTCATGTTTTTAAGACACCTAATCTGAAGCTTACATCTGCTAAATACCAACAAATTGGTTTTACATATCGTTGTCATATTTAACTTGCGTGTTTCAAAGAAGTCTGCCAATTGTGGACATAAAAGCACAATGCAAATTAAAATTGCAATTTTTAATATGTCAAGCAACATTTATGTGCAGTCCTTATTTATACAAGCTCTACGAGCAGTCAGAATCAAGTGTACATTTTGTTAGCACCTGCAGAAAGAATAAAATAAAGGGAAAGGACGCTCATATTAACCTTCTCATATTGTTCTAATATTAAAGAGTAATTTTAATATATATGTATATATTTCTTCATAATAGACCCTAAACTGACTAGTTTATAAGCTTCTAGAGTCTAATGAATGACCTAATAAACTACAATATACAACAAGTGATGAGTCTGAGTCGTTTTCTCCTCTTGATTTGATTTTTTTTTAAATGTCATCTCATTTGCATAAACCCAAACACATGTTTACCTCACCTAGCACATCTTTAGCTAAGGATGCAACCTGGAAAATATTGAGTGGTGTATGCACGTAGCAGGCAGCACAACTCCTAAGATCATACGATTTTCAGCCGAAAGTTGGGCAGCATTTGTACGAAATTCTCTGGAGTGGGTCAGTTTTGATACTAAAGAAAGCCAAGTTGCAGCAATAGCTGTAGAAAAATATGAGTTAAAGGAAAATGTCTTTGTGTGCCAGCTAATGTTGGCTACCACCGAGAATGTTATATGCAATATGCCAACAGAAGAAACATTGAGAGCTCGCAAGAGGAAACAAAGGGCAGTACAGCAGATTGAAGGTTTGTACAACATTGTGGTTTTGACTTTGGACAGTACATTCAGTTTCAATTTTCATATCAGAAATATTCATATATCATACAGTGGTGAAGTATTCAGATCCTTTTGTTGAGTAAAAGTACTAATACCATAGTCATCACATAGTTTTCAATACATTTAATTCCCAACCCATTTTGTTTCTCATTACAATAAGATCCTGACGCACACACAAGTGCAAATGACCATCTGCCACCAGAGGTTAGAGTTCTTCGCTCAGCCACAACACAGGTTCCAGGTCACCTAAAGAGAGCAACTTCCCAAGGCAGTGCATAATATGCAAATGTGAAAAATATTTAACACAAAAACATAACCTCAAGAGGGTTAAAAAGAATTTACAACAATGTGAAACATTGACAGCTGGTAAGCTGCTTCTTGCAGCTGAGGAACACCAGGATGAAAACCTGCTGCTACAAATACGTGGAATAGATCTTGTTGCCTCAGAAGCAATGTATAATTTCAGATGCTACAGAAATTACACAGTATTTCTGCACAAAAAAGATGAAGCTGACTGCACCGGGAACAACCACTTTCAGACTGGATACAGTCATTTTTGTACAACAGTCATGGAGGAGAGGAAGAAGAAACTGAAGAAACAGAAGGTATTCAAGCTTTCAAAGTTGAATGCACTGTTCAAAAAATGTGTCCATGTAAAAGAAGGAATTGACATCTCCTCTTACAAATCATCATCTTTAAAAATGAGACTAATAAAGTTTTCTATCCTTTTCTGAAGTTTCAGAAATTATCAAGACATGACTTTGTCTTTGTTGAGGATTTGACACCACATGAAGTGGTCCAAGATTAAGTTGCCACAGCTTTTTTTTCACCACCATCATCATCCTTTTCATCAGATGAAGATGACACAAGAGCACCTGAAACAAATGACATAAATGAGACAGGACTCTACCATGCAGCCATGATACTTAAAGATGCAATAGTAGAAAAGGACCTCCACACTCAGATGGCCACCAACGGCACAGCAACTTATAATGTCAGCTGCCTCAAATCTGATCCCAAATAAGCTCTTCAATTTCATCGCCTGGAGTACAGCCATGACAACTGATCCCTCTACTGATAATGAAAGAGTGAATGTTAAAGAGGAGGAATCTGCAAAGGTTGTATCAATGTGTCAGGATGTTATGAGACTTAAAATGAAAGGGAGATGGCTCATGCCAAAACACTGTGCCTTAGCCATGGCTGTTAGACACATGACAGGATCAGCTCAGCTGATAGGGTTATTGAATGGTCTTGGGCACTGTTCCTCGAGCTCACAGGTGCTTGAACATGACACAGCTTTGGCACATCTGCAAATACAACAAGGTGACACGTACATCCACCAAAACATACATGTACAAATGCAAGCAACTCTTGTTTGGGACAGTAACAATTTTGGAGAGGAAACTATCGGGTAAGGGGACTACACAAAATACAAACGGCATAATCATTCCAAAAAAATTATTTCATGTGACGAACCTACCCCTGAAAACCAGAAAACAAGAAAGAGGTCACTTGATCCACCCTCTGCTTACCTTGAAACATACATCAGAGGAAAGAGAACAGGCCTGGAACATTTTGGGAAAGAAGTCGAACTAGATTTAGAAACCCACATCCATGCCATGAAAACAGCACAAACATTGGATGGTGCTTATTTCCTCATGAAGACTGCAGTCCATGGTGAAGTCCTTCCACCACCAACCAACATTGGATACCTTCTAGTGACTGATTCAAGTCCTACAGAACTGGGGAACAGTAGAAACCATACGTAAGAGATCAACAGAAATTGCAAACAAATGGACATCAGGAGATAGTTCTAGTCTTTGACCAAGCAATCTATGCAAAAGCTCAGGAGTTTCGGTGGAAGAATGAAACATACAAGGAAA